ATCTTAGTGGAAACCAGGTGAAGAATAGAAGGGAAATTAAAAAGCAAAGATGCAACTAAATTAGAATGGTTTAGAAAAAGCATGAAGGTATATGTGGGGAGGGCTACAAAAAAACAAGCAAAAACTGGCTGGTCAGAGGCAGTCAGGCAAGATTAAACATTTTAAATACTGAGCAAATGAAGGTTCTTAAAAATAATTTATCAACTTTCCTTTATAAAAGCAATGCCAGTTCATTGTAGAACAGTTCAAAATGTTCATTTAGTTTGCTATTCATAAATAGCTATTACATTGTGGTATGTTTTCTGCTACTCTCTTTTTCTGCTTAGTTATTCGTATGTTTGGTTTGATATAATTGGATAACACTGCATAGACTACTTAATTTACTTTTGTCAATTTTTTAAAAAATAACATCAGCTTATTAATAGGACTTTATTTTTACCACCTGCATAACATTCACAAAAAACAGTTCTCCTTTCTTCCTTGTTAACAGAATTCATGCTTGTTCAGGCATTCAAGGCTCCATCTCCATGCCCATAAAGTGGATTTTATTTAGTCTAAATCTATCATGATGGTACTTAACAACAACAACAATATTGGTACAGTAGTTAAGTGGTTGGCAGTTCAAACTCACCAGTTGTTCTGTGGAACCAACTGAAGCAATCTGCTTTCAAGATTGTTGTTTGTTGTTAAGTACCATCAAGTCAGTTCAGACTCACAGCGACTCTGTATAGGGTTTCTAGGAGCTATTAGAAGGTTTAAACTGCCAATCAGTGCTCATCCTACAACACTACAGGCCTTGGAAACTCAACAGGGAAGTTCTGTTGTGTCCTACAGGGTCAACATGAGTCAGAATCTACTTGAGGGCAATAGGTTGTCAATGATTGGCTTAGGAAAGGGCCAGTGACCCAATTCTGGTTAGTGAGATACGAAAGTAAGCCTATAGGTTGGATGCATGGGAGGGACTTCTTAGTTTTTTAAAATATATTTTCTGCTTATGAAAGGCATATGAGGAACTAATGACTGGAGCTGGTGGTTGGAGCTGCTGCAGCCATCTTGTGATCATGAGGGAAGCCAATCTATACACTAATGATGAAAGAACAGAAAAGTGGGAAGAACTGTACTCTAGAGGACTTTGTTACTACAGTTAATTAAGCATCCCTTGAAACTTCTTGTTGTGTTTAAGTCCCTTTTAGTTTTCTATTTCTTGTGGTAGGAAGCAACCTAACAGATATAGTATCATAATTTACTTAACTTGTCTAAATTAAGTAATTTATAAATCTACTTATTTGTAAATAAGGAATTCACAAGTTACATAATTTAGGTTATTTACAGTTTTTTTGATACCAGTGTTTGCCTTCAGATATTTTAAGAGACAAAAACAACATAGCTTAAATAATAATTTGTTTTGGGGAGAAAAAAACCCCAAAAAGCAATAAAGAAAAGAAACAGGAATGAACTTGAAATATCTCGGGTCATCAAAGCTGAATCATTCTGATTCTCCACTCCCTTTATTTCTCATTGCTGTCAGCAGACTTAGTTATCAGTGGCAAGTTACATTTCAGAAAGAAAAATTGAGAAATACACTCTCACTATAACACTAATAAAAGTGAACACAAACAATCCTTCAAAAACAAAAGCCATTCTTATTTACAATGTGTTATATTGCTTCATCAACTGTTTCTCTTTTCTTATAATATTTAAGTTACTTTGGTCATGAGAGAGGCAGCCTATTATGCCATGGTAATATCAGTTTCATCAAAAAATTTGCTGTAGATTCAACGCAATTTTTAATCGATATGCATCTAATCTACCAAGTTGACAATGTTTCCCAAGAATCAAAGTTGCAGCAGGGGTAACTGATTGGACTTTATTTAAGTGAAGAGGTTCAGCCTCTATGTTGGCATCTAAGAAGTGAGTGGAAGAAGCTCACAGTATCTGCCTCTCATCACTAATGATAGTTGGTTCTACTTATGGGATTTCAGATTTGCTGACTTTTAAAACTATTTAGTTGTCTTACAGTTAAATTTTAGAAAGGTTTTGCTCAGGGAAAAGAGGCTATGCCTATACAAAATAGCAATTTTAATTACAATTATACAGCACAAATACTATATGGCCTACATTTCAAGCTTAGCATCAATAAGTGCACCTAATATGAATTCATAAATTTACATTAACAATTGGCTTATAAGGCACTTCATTTTTAGAAAAATTTAAAATTCCACATACAGCTTACAAAATGCAATTAAGTTTACAGTTCAAAAGTAATACTCAGCTGTTGTTCATGAAGTTCTTCAGCACTGTGGTTATGACTCGTGATATTTCCCACTCCTGGCCTCTGGCCAGGAGTATTGATTCATGAGTTGACTATGACAGAGGGTGTAAAGAAAACACAGACTAATCTAAAACTCAAATAATGACTCTTCTCTGAACCAAAAAAAAAGCAGATCACTTTCCTGGGATACAAGATATCCTGTTCCTTATCATGTCTCATGCATTTGTCTCACATACGATTCATTTCCTGCATACTAGGACATTCTAAAGAAGAATCAAAAGCAAAATCCAGAATTTGGAGGGAAACTCACTGTTCAAAAGTTCACATGAGGATCATGTAGAGGGTGTGGAAAGAGTCAACTTTGACAGAGGCTAAATCCTTTTTGAGCCTAGATGGAAGTTGGATTTAAGAGTCTACATTGAAGGGTTGTTATCATATATTTAAAAATTATCTAAGTAGGCAAGTTTCTAAAAAAGGATCACTTTGTATAGAGAATGGCAGAAACTGATGATGAAAATTGGTAGAACCTAAAACAGAGCCAGAACCGTGGCCACATAGTGTATTACAAGCTGGGCTGCTAACCACAAGGTCAACAGTTCAAATCTATCAGTTGCTCTCAGGGAGAAAGATGAGGCTTTCTGCTCCTGTAAAGATTTACAGCTTCAGAAACCATTTACAGGGTTGCTATGAGTTGGAACTGACTTGGTGGCACACAACATTACTACCAAAACTTAAAAACAAAACAAATCCCTTTGCCATCCATTTGATTCGGACTCATAGTGAACCTATAAGACCAAGTAGAACTGCTTCTTAGGGTTTCCAAGATTATAATTCTGTATGAGAGCAGACAGCTTCATCTTTCTCCTACAGAGTCGCTGGTGGGTTTGAACTGCTCGCCTTATAGATAGCAGTCCACCGCTTAATCCATTGCATCACTTAGGGCTCCTTGGCACATAATAAGTGCTTGTTAATGAATAAATTCAGAAATTACAATTACATTCACCTTAACTTTTGAAATGGGATGTGTAGATGGGAGGGGGCACTATCTTCTCCACTTTCTCCTCTGTTATTCCTGTCTCATTTCTAAGTCTGAGTTTTTTCACCTTGAATAAATGTAGAGGAACAGCATTCTGGTCCTGCCTGTGACAGGGACTTCAAGGATATGCCTGCAGTTTGAGAGTGAGCAAGGGTCATTCTTTGATAATTAGACTGAACCCTGAGCACTTGAGCTGGGTGGGGCAGTGAGACTGGCTGCAGGAATAAAGCCTGTGCAATTGGGGAGCTCCAGGCACAGTCAATGGACAACCCTGACGGAAAGCACTTGAGTTAATTCTGTACCAACAGAAGCAGACAATACCTTCATTCCTTGAAATGCCACACACACATGCACTCCCACATCATTCCTGCCTCCCTGTCTCCACTGGAACCTCTGGCAAGCCTATCTCATGTTAGGGTATGCATCTGCATGCACATTAGACACAGGATGGGAGTGGACATTTTGTTAGAGAGAAGTGACCTCCACTGAGAAGCAGAAGCATCCATGATAGCAGGGTGACCAGGGAATCCAGAATAGTTTCAGACACCCCCCCCCCCCCTAGTTAGTTGTGTTGTGCAAGGCACTCATGGAAAAATTTGAAGCTAGTCCTCAAATTCCTTCTGTTCTCTTGCCTGAAGGTGAAACATGCCTTCCTCACGCAAATATACAAATAAATAAGTGAATTCAAGAATACTTATATTTACCCTATTAGTCATTATTAAACAGCTAATGAGAACCTACTAGACCACTGGGCCACAAGACTCCTCAGTGGTCCCCTCTTTGAACACTATCATTTCCCTTTCCTTTTCCACATAGTACTACTGCTTATCTCCATCCAGAGCCTTCCACCCTAATCCTAATCTGTGCTTCCAGGCTGTATTATTATAATAGTTCTGATCCCTTAGGAAAAGGTTGAAATACCTCAGAGGGTGATTACATATTTGTTATGAGCACTATACATGGAATAACCCATACTTGTAGTATTTTGCCAGGGAAACCTTATTAGTAAATTACTTAATTCAATGTGCTTTGCAGAGAAATTCTAACCTTCTAGAAGAAGGGCTCTCCATCCTTGGAAAGGAATACTTTATGCAACCGTAGTTAATAGTCTCCTATTCTGCCTCATCTTCCTGAAAGGTATCTTCCTGTACTTTTCTGTAAGATTGTAGACTTCTTCCCTGAAGGCAGTATAAAGTGTCTATAGTGATAAGTCACAGTGTTCAAAGTCTAACGATGAGAGAAGTTGGACATCATAAACTTTGACAGAGGTCAAGGACTTAAAAATGAAGTGGTGAGAAACTTCTTTCTCTTCTTTTTCCTTATCTTTCTTAGCACTTTGTGATTTCAAGTGGGACAGCCACTGGAGTTACATGTTATTAATATTGATTGATATATCAATTTGATTTAAAGGAATAATACATAAGAGATTGAAACTTTTAAAAGGGAAGAACTTCAGAGGCATCAATTGTTAACACCTTGAAAACCTAAAAAGACAGCAGAATTATTACATTCCAGCATATCAGATTAAAAAAATAAAAAGGGAAAAGCTGAAAATTTCAGTAAAGGAACTGTGAGAAGCCCTCTTCAAAAAAACCAAGGGATAAAGGATACCCGCATATATTGAATTTTAGTGGTAGCTCATTTTTCCAGAATCCAAAGAAAAAACAAGTTAAATAGCAAGACACTTTTACAGGAAGTTTGAAACATACCAAGTTTTATTTTGAAATACAGTCTTTAAAGATAAATTTGACTTCCATTTTCCATATCTAGGTGCATCCAACAAGATACAAAAACAAAAACACAACAAAAACAAAGACCCACGAAATTATGTACAGAGCTCTAAAATGAGCTGTGAATATCTACAATAAACTAGCGTATGCTCTTTGTGAAGGGATGTACGTGTGTGTGACTTTCTACAGTTCTCAGTCCTTGAGAAGAGTTAACTCCTTGGAACTGCAGGTGCTGCTGCAGCAAGGCAAGAGCTGGGGTGAGTAGGGGACTGGGATGGGACCTCCAGGAGGGAGGTGTGGAGAGGTGTCTGGGAAGGGGAGCGGCTGCGGCACGGGACAGATCCTGGGCTTCTCTAGAAGTCCTGCCTCGGGGTGTGAGTCAGACTGTGCCGCCGCAGATCACAGTTTCGCCTGAACACTTTGCCGCACTGCTCGCAGCTGTAGGGCTTGATGTCTGTATGGGTGAGAAGGTGAGTTTTCAGATTACTTCTCTGATTAAAGGTTCTTCCACATGTGGGACATTTGTGTGGAGATTCCTGTTCAGATGTGAAGCAAGCAAAGGATTAATCCTTCACACCACCACGGCACCCTTCGCAATAGTCTGTCTTATCGGTATCACATAACACGCGCATGACAACAAAAGAGGGGATCTGCAGGAACAATTCTGGGCTCCTAATCCTCCAGTCACATCACGAACTCATACTAACAGGCACACACTTGGGTTGATTACATTGATAGCTGCGGGGGCAGACCCCGAGGCCACTACAGTGGGCTTAGTGATTCCCAGCTCTTTACATTTCATCACCCTGTCAGAGGCAGGAAAAGGGGGAAGGAAAAACTCTGCTCCTCTTTGCTAGAAAGATTAAACTATTCCTCAATGTTCTGAAAACTACAAATTATGAGGCCCCTGGGAAAGAGCGTGTATGAGATTTCACCATGCCTCCATTATCAAAATTACCTTTATTTCCTCCCAAATATGAAATCTTTAAATGCAGGTGGATTGGATATAGAATAATTATTCTAAAATTAGAATTTAGAATAAGGAAGTGACTTGTTCATTAAGAAAAATCTTATGTTAAATAAGATTAATTTCATATATTAAAAAAAAAAACCAAGTGTGCTGCTTTTCTCTACCTAGAGAGCTGATCTAAATAGAATCCTTTAGGAGAAAGACACTGCCATTAAACACCTTTTTTAAAACAATTATGATCAAATAGAACCAGTCACTGTTTTGAAGCAAGAAAACAAACTTACCTGCATATGTAAAGTTTTGTGAACTGCTAGAGTTCTAGACTGACAAAATCCTTTCCCACATTCCTGACATTTGAAGGGTTTTTCTTTGGAATGGATATACCTGAAAATCAATATAAGGATTCATTGATAAGGCTTTCACCCAACTTTACCACTATGTGTGGGTTTTTCCTTTGACAAGTACTCAGAATGAAGTAGTGGGAGGACAAAAAGAAACTGGGTTTCCATTATTTATGTTTTTAGATTTTTTTTTTTTTTTTGCGCTGTGTAATTCTGTTTATGGTTAACCTCAACTAACAGACTCTTTAAAACATTCACCGGCCGGCTGGCTTTATCTACACTTGATCGCCCTCTATAGCATATTCTGGAGCTCTAAATCGTGCCGAATGAGTCCTTCTTGGCCTCCACATTTCCTCTGGGATTTACATTGGCCAAATCAGGATGTTAAGGCAAGGCAAAGTGTTTAGGAGGACTGATTTTAGTGAGTCCCTTAGCAGCCATGGAGGCTGGGTACAGAAGATCCAACTAGAGAAAAGCTGGTAGATTCCAGAAAAGATCCCCATCTCCTCTTGGGAAATTGTTAGCTGAATGAAAACACTCATAGTATAGTTATTTCTTCTAGTTACTACTTACTGATGCAGAGTTTAAGGTCAGGCAGGAAAAGTGGGAGTTGTTTCTTCCACCTCAAGACCTCCCTTCCCCTACCCCCAAATAAAATTTAAAGGTTTCTGTGGCAGGTTCTGGGTGTACTTGGGGAAGGAGTAAGAAGGAAAGGAGGAAACAAATGGAGGTGGCAGCCAGGACAACTGGGAGGAAGCTGGGACACCCAACTGGGACCAAGGTCCACCTGATATTTCCTGACCAAGGATGGAAAAAGCCCCTGCTTCATCCCACACAGGAACTTAACAGGCTCAGACTAGGGAAAAGTAGATGTTGGGAGGTGGGTGAAGCAGGCTGGGGAGGGCCTTTGGGGGATGCATTCGAGTTCAAAGGTCGTTCTCATGACACTAGGAAGGTGGTTCTCCTCTCCCTTGCAATCCCTTTCCCTGCCTCACCTGTGATCCCGCAAGTGATCTTGCCTCCGGAAGGCCTTGTGGCAGATGTCACACGTATAAGGCCTCTCGTCTGTATGGGTCCTTTCATGGATGAGCAAGTTGTAGGATTTGGTAAAGTGTCTGCCACAAAATTTGCAGATAAATTCTTTTTTCGTTTTGGACGGCAACCTCCCTCGGGAGGGCTTTCTGTCCGGAGTCAATTTACTGAGGCTGGAGATAGGGTTGCCCAGACCCGGGTTCAGTTTGGTCAGGTCCCCCATCTTGGGGGGGTCCTCCTGTGTGGCGGCCACAGCCAGATTGGCAAAGTCAAAACGGGGCCGGTCCTTGTGCAGGGCTGGCAGAACATGGGCAATGGCCCCCTGCTTGGGGTGGAAGAGGTGAGTAGTGAAGGGCAGAGCCGGGAACGGGAAGCGCGCCTCCATGAGGCCCTGCGCCGCCGCCATCTCAGTGATGGTGGAGCGGGCAATCTCGTGCACATTAGGGTACCCCAGCGTCCAGTGGTTCATGTGCATGGTCTGCACCGCGCTGAGCCCATACAGGCCCTGCAGGTGGTCCACGGCGGCAGGGAAGGTGTTCACGGCCTGCAGGAAGGAGTAATTGGTGAGCTGCAAAGACGGGTGGAGTGGAATGGGTGCCGGCAGGGCCTTGCTCCCCATCTTCTGGGATGCTGGGGCGCGGAGAGAGCCGCTTCTGTCTTCCAGGACTCAGAGGAGGAGGGCGTGGGGTCTCCGGCGAGAACCAGAGAGGCAATAGCACACAGAGAAGGCCCTAGAAACAGCAGAGGAAGAGATTGTGAATATTATTCCTGCAAGTTCGATCTGTCTTTTGGCGCAGAGCAGGTTACCGCATCTTCTTTGTAAACTCTCGCTCTCCGCGGTACTTTATGAAGCCGAGAGGGCGCCTTGCAGAGCTGTCCAACAAGTCCGCCCAGAGCTGGGTCTCAGGCCGGACAGTTCAGTGGGGCAGAAAAGGGTTCCCTGGTGAGCTTGGCGCCCTGAAGGCCCTTCTGGGGAGCCCACAGGAAGGTTGGATTCTAGGCAAGCTGGGAGCAGAAGACGCGGGCAGGAGGAGAACAGCAGGGGAGCTGCGGAGCCCTAGCAACAGCACCTGGTCGGAGAAGCGCGGCCAATCGTGACGGCCGGCGACCTCAACGCTGAAGTGTCTGGGAGTTCCCCAGGGAACGAGGATAGGTTGTGGGTCTGACCCCAACCTCCAGGGCCGGGCTCCTGGCGCCGCTTCCCTGCGGGGCCTCGCTGGGGTGCGGGCGCGCAGCTGCTGGATCCAGTTCCTCCCGGGCAGAGGCCCTAGGAGCGGACCGCCTCGCCCCAAGTGCTGATCTCTCGGAGGTTTTCTCTTTCCTTCCTCCACTGCAGTGCCATTTGTCAGCGATGACGGGCCGCAGGAAAGAAAACCGACACTTTGGGAATGGGTTCGGTCTAGAATCGCCCCCCTCATCTTCCCAGGGACAACCCCTCCTCTAATCCCTCACCAAGATTCCTTCCAGATGGTTCAGGTTTGGGGGGGGGCAGCAGCAGAGGCGCCCCCAGGTCGAAACCCCCTCTCCCAGCCGGATCTTCCAAGTTCCCAGGAGGCCCTGGCAGCTGCCGGACCTGGCACACGGAGCGGCCCTTCACCAGGGAGATTGGAGAGGAGAAAAGGCTTCTTAGGGAGGAAAGGGAAGGAGCTGTGGACGAGCGCTAGTCGGTGGGCTCGGTGCGGCCCTGCTGACCTACAGAAACCTTGTTGGTCGGTCTGGCGGTGTCTCACCAGGAAGACCGGCCTGGGATCTGCGGCCTGGGCCTACTCCCAGCTCCCTGCATTCCAGTGGCAACACAGGGGTCTGATTGCAGACCCAGGTTCCTGGCGGGGGTGGGGTGGGGAGGTAGGTATTCAAGGACCCCCTCATGTGTATTCAGAGAGAATCCACTTGCTGCCACTACCAACCGCATTTCAGTAGCCGGTTTTGCTAGATCGGCGGCCCTGCACCTTTTCTCTTAGTGCGACTCCGCAGGTACGGGACCCACAACCAAGCTTCTCACTGAGAGGGACAGGCAGGCGAATCTGCGCCACTAATCCCCTGGCCTCGCTTTGGAACCCAGTTGGAAGGTGGGAGGTCTGTACAGCCTTCTGTCCCCACCCACTCCTCTCTGGCCAGGATTCTCCAGTGCTTTCTGAAACTTTGCCTGTGGCACCATCTGAGGGTAGACTTTGGGGGCTGGGCTAATGACACCGGGCTCTGACCAGGTAAAATCTGGCTGCCTTAGTGGGACCCACACCTTCCCTCCCTTTTCTGCTCAGGAGACAGGGATTTATTAATGAACCGTTTCTGCCTGGCGGTCTGCGGTCGGGGGAGTTTAGGCCCCGAGTTAATGAGAGGTGTGTGACAGTTAGAGGGTCTCAGTCAAACCATTCAACCGAAACTGTAAACTCCCATTAGTAATAAACTTTCCCACCACTAATCAAGATTCGTTGTTGTCCAACGGCCACCCTCAAGCCCTCTCCTAGAGAGGTAGGAAGCCGGGATTCTCTGAACATACCTGCTCATGTATCTGATTATTTCCTCTTAGATTAAAAATAATTTACATCTTTCTTCGCTTTGCTTTACACAATGAGGATTTTCCACAGATTAAAATATTATTATTTTCCCCTAGTGCTGAAAAGCAGCCTCTTCCCCAGAGAGAGCAAACTACATGGATTCTTTGGTTGTATTCCTAGACTAGATTACCTAGAAATAAACACAGGAGTCGAAGTACAAGTCCGACCATGTTCTGTCTGTGGGGTCACTGTTGATTTAGGGAATTCTATGACCTGTGATTTCCATTCCAGATACACAAATTGAACATAAAGGTTTTATAAAGCTAAGAGCCACCTGCCTCCTTTTTCTACTGATGATTTACAATATAGAATTAACAACTCAATTATAATTCAGCTTGAGGAGGGGTTTTTTTCATTTGCAAAGCCAATGTTTCTTCAGAGAGGAAGAGCAAACCATTGAAGCCTTCTAAACTCCATTTACAAAGACAGTCACCCCCATTACCTGTCAAACATTTTGCCAGCAATCATTAAAGAGTTTAGATTTCCACTTTCCCATTGAGTTGCTGGAAGTATTTGTCAAGGATATTTTAAGTCAATGCAGAGATCTAAAGTACTTTCGTTTTGTCTTGAGTTTCCACACTCCCGTTCAGGCAAACCAGCAATCACCCTTGGTAGTCATTTCTCTACCATCTCATTTCAGATCACTGGTTCCTTTTTAATTTGCAATGAAAGGAACTTACACTGAGCGAAAGAGATACACATTTCGGGAGAGCTGACACTAGTTTTCTTTACAGGAATTTCCAGCTATGTATACACGTTTTTTAAAATTTAGCTCACTGGTTGTTAACAAGTAAGTACAATGTGTGCATACTAGTTGAAGTTCAGCGAAGCTTTCAAAACATTGGAGGAAAAAAGGGACGTGGTAATTTGATAAGCAGCTTCGCTCTTTGGTCATAGGATTACAATATGGAATTACCTAAAAATAATATACAGTAGGAGTCATCTGCTAAAACCTGTTCATTATCTGAGAAAAATGACCTATGGATCGATAGGCTCAATAAATTTTAGTCCAAGCCACAATAGGGTTTTACAGAAATCAGAGAGCTGTAGTCTAAGTGGATCTAAGGAGACTATAAAAATAAAAATGGCCAGAGTAGATCAGGTGAATAGAGAAAAAACGGTCCCTTTGCAGTGCCTCTGCCTGCTCAAGGAGCTAATTAAATTAAGATGCCGCCTTCCTTATAATCTGGGTTGTTTCTTTTTGCTCCCTCGCTCCCCCTGCATGAGTATTTTTCGTGTTCCTACTCGGAAGCAGAGAAAGCAGTTGTCTGCTCTGTTTCGCTCCGGGAAACACCAGCCCTCTTTTGTTCTCTGCTAACAGGTAAGCAGACAGATTCAGCTCTGCCTTCACAAGCACCTTTTCTCTCTCCTTCTTCCTACAACCGCAACTCCTTTAGCGATTTCTCACAAATCCAAAATCCAAACAGGGGAGTTTGCTTTAGACCTCTACGGCCACGGCTGGCAGGGAACAGGACAATTTAAAAGGCCGGTACAGGGTTCAAAATTCTACGCAGGAGGTAATTCACAAGGGCTGAACTAGTTCCCATTTCATATGCACCCTCGGCGTCACTGGTTGCGCAGGCACCATGAACCCGCCAGCCCGCTCGGAGCTACCACGGATGCCGCGGGCCAGGTCGCCCGGCTCTGTAGGGCAGGGATAGAAGCAGCATAGGGTTGAGAAGGTTATCTCTGAGTACGTCGGTTAACTTTTACAAGCAGCCTTTCTGAGTAGAAGCTTAGATAAAACGTCCCCAAACAAAACTAAAACATCGTATTTTAAAGTGTGGATGTTAGCTGGGGTCCGAAGAAGAGAGAAACACAATGCCCCAGGAATGTATCCAAATGATTTCTTTTCCCGATATCTGAACTGTTGGCACGTCGGCCTGAGAATTCGAGCGCTCCCTGCACCCCCAAACTTTTCCTTGATCGGAACGGCTGCAGCCCCTTCCCAGAGTCGTCACTCACCTCCCGCAGAAAAGTCCGCCTGGGCAGTGCCTCTCAGACTCGGTCCAGGCTACGAGACGCGCAGTGAGGCAGGCTTCTTGGATTCGCACAGTGCAAACTTCTTGTTCCGCGCCCAGTCCCGGGAGCCGTGGACATGATCTGGAGAACGGCGAGCAGTCAGCAGTCAAAGCAAGCGCGGCTCCTCACCCTGATCGGAGTTAGTGGACGCGGAAGTGGAAAGACCTCGGCGCCTGGAGCTGGAGCTCAGCGCTGGCCGGTAGCTCCGCGCCTCTGCTAGCCTCTCACTGCCGACTCTGGGTGAGGTCGGAGCTCGCAGCTTCGCAGCGCCATCACCCTCCAGCAGCAAGCGCGCCGACCTCTATCCAGGCCCGCGTCCCTCCCCAGGCTGCCCAGGGCCGAGAGTCTGGGGTTTTAGTAGCAGCCCCGCCTCCCCTCAGGGGGTGGGGGTAGGGGTGGGGGCCTTCGGCAGCAATGCGGGGCCCTCTGCTCGCTGGCTCCGCCTCCGCGCCCGGCGCCCGCTAATGGTCCACTCTGTTTACTTGTGTTTGGATAGCAACTGAGTCTTAAAGGCACAGGTTTGCCGGAGGTTTCCAGGTTCCTTAGCGAAGGTGACTCAGTTTAAAACTCACACATAACCAACAACGCCCATCCCCATCTTTCTTGGTGTCACTTTTTCTTACACTGTTAGAAACTTAACAGTCCTCTCTCTCCTGAAGACCTCGCAGAGAAATTCAAATGGTATTTTGTAGTTTTACTTGGCACGCTAGCCAGCTACATTTCCAATCTTAACACATTTAATAAAACCATCTTTTTCGCAGGGTAAAGTCATCAGTTCTAGGTTACTTTCTCCTGCATATATTACACTCTTCTCAATTTTAACATAGTTGAATACACAATTTTGTAGTTTATGTGTCGTCTGACTTCTAAACGAAGTTTATTTATAAAGGTGGCAATTGATTAATTTTGTAATTACTGCAGCCATCCGTGGAATATCTCAGGAGAACTATCTTCCAATATTTTAGCTTTAATCAGCCAGCGTACATTTCACAACTTGGTCAGTCCGGTGGGCATCAGTAACTCATTGACAAACAATAAGGAATCCATCTGGAATGGGAGTAATCATTTTTAAATTTTAGGAAAATATGGTTCTAGCTTCTCAAACCATATACATCTTCATTCCCAGCAAAAACTGAGTTCATCGTTCAGTCGCCAGGAAATTCAATCGAATTTAAGGGGCAAGGATACATTTTCAGATTTCACTAGTCTTGGACTTGTGTGAGTGTAATTGCAGAAAGCACTTCAGTCACTCTAGCATGCTGATGACTAGAAGTCAGGAAGAGAATAGCACGCACCCATTTTAAGCAATCTTTTTCAGAAGACATCTGTGTGAACAACACTGAGCAAAACGCTCTTCGTCCAAGACGAGTCGTCAGAGGGACTTTAGTCCATAGCAACTTTGCGCTTGAAGGAACACAGAATCGCCAGTCAAGAAACTGTACATTTTAAAAGTGTTCCATCAAAAGATGGAGTTGAGCCTTCCCCAAGAAGAATGAATATAATCTCACTCGTGAGGGGGAGATAAAGGAGAGGGCAAAAACTGTCAAAAAAAGTTAACCAGTGATTGGGGAACCAAGCAGAAACTCTAAATTATTTGAGAAGATAAAACACGTCCTGTTGTATTTATGCCGAAGTGAATGGAAATTTTCGTTTCTTTTGCAAACCATAATTCAAGGATAGGAGATCTTTCAAGCTTCCCTTTCTTTCCAATTAAAATTCGCAAAAATTAAAGAGTAAGCTTGGAGACCTAAGTGATTAATATCCAGTGTTAATTGTTTCAATGTAGACTGGACTAACAGCGTGAAAGCAGTAGAATGCTTGAGTTTAAACAAACGTTTTTCCCTAGTGGGTTCCATGGGGGTGCTTTCATTTTACTGCTCAGTTCTGAGTCCCAGCTGCGGGGATGACTGCGGTGCCTTCTCCCCAACCGCTTCATTCTTTCCGCAGCTTTTCTCAATTTGGGAGATTTGGAAGGAACTTTCTCCATTTTCAGACCCCCGAGACACACACTCAGGAGGTGACCTGAAGCGTATTCCTGTGCTTAGTATTTCCTTTCCACGAAAGTGGAGGCAACCCCCCAGCGATGGGTTTCACACCTTTCCTACCCTCTGTGTGTGTGTGTACGTTGTGTGCTTACCAGCCTGCTTTTCCCTCAGGTTAGACAGAATTTCCACCACCCACGAGTTGCGCCCTCTTCCCGCAAAGCTCCTGAGCCCAAGTTCCCCCCCCCCCCCCATAAACTAGTTTACCTCGCCCACCCCAGCCTCTGAAGTTCCAAAATGGAGTCTGGGCCACGCCGGGCCGAGCGCTGCGGTCGCTGGAAAGGTAGGGAAGAGACGACGAGCCCCGGGTTTTGAGGGAAGCTGCGTGACCTGGCAGCGCCGCTGCAGCCTCCAGGGCCGGCGTCGCGGTGGGCAGGTGCGCGTCCGGATCCCGGAGCTACCCGCTGGCAGAGCGCGGAACGGCACGGCACTACGCGCCCCGGGCCACCTCAGCGCCCATCCAGGCCGGCCTCGAGTTTCTCGGCGATAAGCCCGAGCGAGCCTCTGGTCCCGGCCTGCAGCTAGGGAGCAAGCATGGAAGGGGCCCACCTAAGAGCAGCCTCAAGGACGCGGCTTCCCGATGACAGCCCCAAATTGGCCCAGGAGTGGACGGTGAGGCAAGCCGGAGAGTCCGGAGCGGTCCAACTGCATCCAGGGGACTGTGTTTCTGCCCAGTGGCCCCACACCCTGGAGCCCTTGGGGGTGGGGAGGCTGCAAGACGGCTTCACTCTGACATTTTCGCCGACCCGATCATCTGCTGTCCTTGCGGCTCTGGGCTTTCGATACCAAGGACGCTTCCAGGGAAATGGCTAACAGACAAACAGAAGCGCGCGAGCAGTTGCAGCCCGAACTCGACCTATTGCAAATTTAAGAGCTGAGAGGAAAGGAGAAGGCCGGGGAGAGGAAACGCGGAGGAGGAGGAGGGGGCACGCAGCGGAGCCCCCCTCCCCCCGGCCCACCCAGGCGGCCCTGCGGGTTAAGCAGTGAGCAGGTGTCAAACACACTTCCCGGAGTTACCTCGGAGCCTCTCCAACTCGGAGCGCACGCTGTAAACTTTCTAAAAATCCTTACATTTTCAAAAACAAATTAAGGAAACCCCATCTTTTACTAGCTGCCACCGCCTCGAAGGACTCGCCGCCCTTCTCCCTAGTCTTCCTCTGCCTCTACCCGGCGGGGATCTTTTGCATTTGAGCTTCCCGCAAGGTTTGCCGCCTTTCGCTGGAGCCTGGAGGAGTTGGGAGCTCAGCTTTGCTCCAGTCCGAGTGGACGTAATGAGGAGGCCCGCGGGAACCCAGGAGAAGATCGTGAACATTCCTCTCAGAGCGGAGGGTGGGAAGGCAGGAGCCAAAAGATTAGGGATTTTATCTTAAAAAAAAGTAAGTTCGTGTCCGCGCTCTGAAACAGAGATGGGGTGGGAAATCAGCGGCTGCTGGCGGGAGCTGGGCGGCCCGCGGGAAGAGCCGCAGCGCCCCCTGGAGGTGAGGGTTGCTCACTGCGAGGCTCGGTGAGGGCGGTGGAGTGGCCACTCCCTCTGTTTTCTTTTGAGTTTAGTTCGCGGTCTCCAAGACCCAGCCGAACACTCGATTCCCTTCACCTCACCTCAAGCCCTTTTGCTGTGATAGGAGGATCATGTGCGCGGTAGGGTAGAGGGGCTTGGTCCAGTGATCTAAGCCAAAACCTGCTCTACCTCCAGTACTTCGTGGAGATCCAGCCTAGTGGCCAGCCCCAGCGACTCCCCTTTTGGGGAGTTTCTAAGACCGACCTTCGGGCGTTTGAGGCGGTCGTAACTTCCTGACGGTAGAGGGAAAGATGACAGTTCTGATCCCAACGCAGGAAGCACGAGAATAGTTCGGTCCCGACCAACTCAGATTCCTACAGATTCCTACACCCGGGACACTATCCCAGGCCGGAGAGGCGTGAGGGTTGCTCCACCCCAGCATTTGATGCCCTGTTGGAAGTGGGTTCCCGGGAGAGCGATGTTCTCCTGAAGCTAGAGAGCTGGAAGGGGCGAGGCGGGCTGGTGCCACTGCAGCTTTCTTGGGGCAGTCTCATGTGTGCTAGGCCCTCCCGCCCATTCCTTCGAGGTGGGCCAACAAGCCGACCTCAGCAGAGAGGGGATGAGGGGTCAACGCCCCGTCAGCCCCAGTATTGAAGGACTCCCAGTTTCCGAGAAGAGCGAGTTGCCTAAGGAGATCCGAGACTAGTTCTGGGGTGCGGGGAGAGTTACAAGGCCATAGCTTGTGATGGACAAGCTTGGATAGATTCTTCCGTAAGACTCCAGGCCTCCCCTTCATCACCTTACCCCACCCCTCATGAGCCGCTTGGTGCCACCGCGGGCCTGGACGGTGAGAGCTAGCCCCGCACCTTGACACTTCTTGGAGTCCCTAGAGGTCGCTGAGAACGCAAGCCGGCGAGTGCCAGGCTCCGGTACGTGCTGGTCGCAACCCTGGCGCCATCCTCTGGCACTGACGGTGGCTCCCAGGGAGTGCGGGGACTGAGCGCGCTTTCGCCTCCAGTGCTAGCAGGAAGGCTGACCTCTTACCAGATCATCTCCTAAACTCCCGGGTCAAGGAACAGCTTTGAATTCAAGGCGCTTTTCTAATGGTTTACAGAAGACGTTGATGATGACAGAAGGCAAGATCTAGGCGACTCGAAAGAGGGAGGGACCTGAGGAAAGAGTCCCTCTCCAGGCTGCCCCACCTTGCCCTGCGTGGAAGAACCCGTACGCACTACCCAAAGACCATGCTCAGAAAATCCTCATTGGGATTTCTCTCGTTTGTTTGTTAACGCTTAAACACTGGGGACATTTAAACAAAAATCTTGATTTCCAATAAGATCCACTCTTAATGCGGCAGTGTGCTAGCTGGAACTTCTCTGGTCACCATGGTCTGTTTAACAATGCCGGGGCCTCGAATGCCTCGGAGTTTCCAACCCTAGCTGCAAGAGATCGTTTCTCTGGATTGCTGGGATCTCTGCCGAGTAACTTCGAGAGTAGCGGTTCTCAAAGTGTTGTCTAATAGCAGCAGCAGCAGCAGCAGCAGCAAGATCTGGAACGTGTTAGAAATGTAAATTCTAAGGCCCCACTGAATAAGAAACTCTAGGACTGGAAGGAACCCTGCAATCTGTTTGAACAAGCCCTCCAGGCGATTCGGATGCACACTAAAAAAGCTACAACACTACCAACCTACACACCAAATTAACATTTGGGAACAATTGCGCTCGCGTGTTTGTCTGTGTCAGTATCTTCCCGCTCTCTTTCTCGCCTCCTCTCCTCCCCTTCTTCGTATTCTCCAGAGAAAGTACTCGTAAACATCTGGCCTAGGACCG